TTGAGCACCTCTGCGGGAATTCAGAAAGCCAGTTTTGTGTAGTGGTTAGGAGCATGGACTCTAATCTGGGAGAACCGGGTTTGATTCCCCGCTTCTCCACATGCAGCTGCTGGTGTGACCTGGGGTCAGTGACAAGTTCTGTCAGAGCTGTTCTCTCACGGGCGGTTCTAGAGAGAGCTCTCTCAGCCCCACCTCCCTCACAGGATGTCTGTTGTGGGGAGGGGAAGGGAAAGGAGATTGTAAACCACTCTGAGACTCCGAGTGAAGGGCGGGATATAAATCCAATCTCCTCTTCTTCATCATCATCTTAGTACAAGTATATGGACCTGGGATCTTGATTCCCTGAACCAGACAATGGGAAAAAATTAGTATTTTTAAAGATGGATAGAGCCGTGTTGGTCTGAAGCAGAAGAACAAAGTCGGAGTCCAGTGGGGCACCTTTAAGACCAACAGAGTTTTATTCAAGGTACAAGCTTTCATGCGCATGCACACTTCTTCAGATACAGTGCATGCACACAAAAGTTTATACCTTGAATAAAACTCTGTTGATCTTAAAGGTGCCACTGGATTCCAATTTTGTTCTAGAATTTTTTAAGCAACCTGCCACGGATATGGCCAGATATACAGGGGAACAGTTGCTGGATTGGATCGAAAATATCATAGGAAATGTCTCTGTGCACAGAAACAGAGGTAGCCTGGCCGCTCAATGAAGCACGCCAAAAAAGGAGTTCAGAGACTCCAAATAGAATAGCTTTGGAGAGGGACAAGAAACAAAGGAGTAACATAAGCTGCCTAGCTCATACCAATAGATATCAGATGTGTTGAGACCCAGGTGCAGAAAGCGTCTAAAAATGGCAGAAATGACCAGCTTCACAGAAGCAGAGATACTGTACAAAGATGGGTGTGTTGGTTGAGGATGAAAAGACATTCATATGTACGAGAAACTTATAAACGCTAATTTTAAATAGATGTTAAGATTAAAAAAAGAATGTGTTCCTATCTCAAGAGGGACAGTTAGCTATTGTTAAAAATCTTATAAATATGGGAAATCGAACTGATCAAGAGCTTCTTCTCAGAAGGGGCTCCTTGCTTGTGACCTGCTTATCTTTGGGGGTAAGAAACTTTTGTGGACTCATGTAACTGCTCTCCTTTAATTATCTATTGTAACAGTGATGGACGGCATAATGTTTTGTTGGATTAGTCAAAGTTAAGAAGCAATGATGTCTTAATGAAAGGTTAAATGAAAGCAGAGGTTCTCTAACAGTATTTACTTGTTGTACTATGCCCTTAATGAGCCTGAAACATTATTGAGGAGTACCTCCAGCCGGGAGTTAAATGATCTGATATAGGAAAGCCAACTAGATGCCTAGGGCTTCTTAAGTGTGCATCGATATCTGAATTAGGCCCGACTAAAGTCATCCAGAACAAACTGCTGCCCCGTTGCATGAAGACTTTGGGGTTCACGGAATCTCGCTGCGGGCTACAAAATCAACTAGCGACCGAGGCAGACCTAATCCGCCCCTTGAGCATACCCCCCCTTCCACGGTTACAGGAGGCATGTGCGCCTCTCCTATCCGCCAGAGATTAATTAAAAAAAAAAAGCATAAGGGACAGAAAAAATTGATTCCTTCTGCAGTTTGTTCATGATCAAATAGAATGATGCATAAATTGCAAATGTCAAATCTGATCAAATTTAAGTCACTTGAAAATTCCGAAATCGGCCTCCAAAGCCAGACCCCCTTCATTTGTTGGGGCTCTCAGGTTACAGCCGTCTCTTGGCTGGATTATGTGACTCAGTGGAGCGGGGGGGGGGGGCAGGGCTGAGTGTCACTGAGGCACAGGCCTGGACTTGATCACTTCCTAATTTAATATACCTCTCAATCCCAACTCTTGTACCCTTTGCTTCTCCTGCCCATTGTTGTCAGTGCCTGCCTGCATAACTTTTCACTCCCCAGGGTGAATACAGATGAGAATACAGATGCCTTGGGCTTAATAAACCTGCCAGGAAATAAGAGGGGTTGCCAGGCATAAGGTGGGCCAAGAACCCGGGTGGGCCGTATGCTGCTCGGTCGCTTAAGGCAGCGCAGTGCTGCCTTACAACCAGTGTTCCCCTTAGTGTGAGTCAGCTCATGGGTCTTTAGCCTCCGGCTCACACATTTTTGTCTCAGCTCATGAAGGATGACTCCAGAGCAAGCTGATTTATGCAGTAGCCAAATCGCTCCCTCACAACTTTAATGCCAGTAGCTCACAAAGAAGGATTTTTGCCCACAGGACTCCGCAGCTTAGAGGGAGCATTTACAACCACAGAGAAGGCTTTTCTACCCCACTGTTCTCTACCCTGAGGAGTCTCAAAGTGGCTTATGATCGCCTTCCCTTCCTCTCCCCACAACAGGCACCTTGTGAGGTAGGTGGGGCTGAGAGAGTCCTGAGGGAACTGTGACAGGCCCAAGGCCACCCAGCAGGCTTCGGGTGAAGGAGGAGGGGGGAATCAAACCCGGTTCTCCGGATCAGAGTCCACTGCTCTTGACCACTGCACCACCCTGGCAAACTCTACCCAAGGAGCCACTCTGCAAACAGGGGAAATCGGCAACTGCCTGTTCATCTGTGTTCTCTACGGTGGCTCCTGCACTATGGAACAGTCTGCCAGAGGCTGCTAGGAAGGCCACCGTGCTTCTGTCCTTTTTCAAAAGGTGTAAATCGGAATTGCTCAGGAGGCCATTCTTGTAGAGTAGGGCTGAGAGGTAATCAGTGTTCCCTCTAAGCTGAGTTGGTGTGAGCCGGCTCACAGTTTTTTATCCTCCGGATCACGCGTTTTTGTCTCAGCTCAGGAAGGATGGGCTCCGGGGCAAACAAATTGATGCAGCAGCCGAATCGCTCGCTCACCACTTTAATGCCAGCAGCTCACAAAGTAGAATTTTTGCTCACAAGACTCCGCAGCTTAGAGGGAGCATTGGATGTAATGGATCAGTTCGTGGAGGGGGGGGGGAACCTGTGAAGGATACCGTGCTTCTCCTTCAAGTCCTTCAATGCCAGCCCGGGTGCATCAGGTTGCTTTCCTAGGAATCTTTACCGTTTAAGACTCAAATTAATAATTCTGTCATCCGCTTGCAGGGAGGGAAAGCAGCGGAGCATAGCCCAGTCTCATGAGATCTCGGAAGCTAAGCAGGGTCAACCTTCAGGGAAGGCTGCGGAGGAAAGCGATGGCAAACCACTTCTGCTTCTCGCTCGTCTTGAAAGCCCCTTTTGCTGGGGCTGCCAGAAGTCGGCTGTGATCTGACAACGCTTTACACACACACGCATAAAATCCGCTTGCTGAACGACCGAATAGTTTTATTTGACGACGGATCTTTGCTGTTAAGTTTTCAAATATTATCATTCAAATGTTACTTTTTGTAATCGGCTTACGGATTGACTAAATACTTCTATTGCACCCGTAGTCCACCTTGTGTCCCAGTGAGAAAGGCGGACTAGAAATGAAAATAAAGAGTCCTGTTCATACCATTTTCCCTTGGAGGACAAAGCTTTGTAGATGAAACGATACACAACAGAGCACCCTATGTACAGTCTAGGAGTAAGACACAGAATATGGGGAAAAAATAAATCAATCTCAGAACACTGGCGATATTTAATTGGCGAGGAGTTCTTTTTTTATTTTCCTTGCATAAGAGAACTGGAACACTCTCTCTATACATATATATACACAAAGCTTGCTTGCAGACCATAGTGAAGAACTTGGTGGGAATCTTATTTATTTTAGTAAACAGAAAGCAATGCAAGCATAACTGGGGGGTGGGGGAACCAGTGACTTTACAATGCTGTTACCTTTTTTCAAACCACGCATGGATCATGACCTGCCTTTCCGGAAAAACAAAACAAAACCTACAGCTAACAGCCCTCCCTTGGGATGGGCACTTTTGACGACAAGAACCACGCACAGGAAATGGTTAAATGCACAATTCATCCTAAGGTTAATTTTTACAGGGGTAAATTTTCTTTTTTACCCTTGAGGCGGGGAAGAGGGGAGGTACCAGTGTGGAAAAGGATACTGACGGTTACCCCCCTTTTGCGCATCCTTTCAAAAGGCATTGACAAGTTCAGGGTCAATGCGAACCCTGATGAGAAGCCAATACTTGGCAGGTGAAAAAAAATAACTCCGTTTGGACACAGTCTGGTGCACATACTGAATTCCTGTACACGCAGGGCTTCCCCATTCAGTGGAGGGGGCTGCGCCTCCCCCCCCCCCATGGATATCCCTCTCCTGTACAGAAGCAAATGGGAAAGCCCTCACGGGCAGCAGATTCCCTATGTACAGGATCATGGCTCCGTCAAGGTGCAGGAAAATTGTCAGGTACTCATTTGGAAGGGAATCCGCTGGGCTACACTGCAGAAGAATTGCTCTTGTTAAAGCACCCAAGAGCAATTTATCAGTGATCAGCCAGTTGGAAAAGCAAATGTGGGAGGTGGGAGGTTTGGGGAGGGGCCTTTATTACCTTTTTTTTAAAAAAAACCAAAAGAAAGAGGGACACTGGAGGGGGGCGCGCGATTTTTATTCTATCTAAAACCCCGAGAGCTAAGTTTTCCCACTATCTGTGGAGCCCCCGTAATAAATAACTCTATTTTAAGCTGGACGTGGAGCGAAAGCATTGAAGTATGAACCCTGTAGCACAGACGCGTCTCCTGAATGGGAGGAATTGTCAAGATCAAACTCAAGCGGCTGTGGATTTATTTTTTTCCCCTTAAAAACATCCTCCCTTACTGAGCCTATGAAAGAGGCTACTGTCTCTTTGTTTCGATTGTGTTTTTCGGCCTCAGCTAACCATGCATCTCTATGGGTGGTGGTGATGGGGTAACACTGCACCGAGGTGCCAAGGAAGGGACTGAGATATGGGGGGGGGGGGGAAAAATAATGATAAAACAAAAGCTAGATATGAAGTTTGTTGGGGGATAGAGAGGGCGTACAGGGATGGAATCGAGGTTCTCTTGCTCCTGTATTTTTTTTCCCCACCACCCTTTTCCTTTTCAAGCGTGTTGCCAAGGCACTTTTCACTCCGTGCGCAAGATGATATGGATCCCTGAATCCGTGAATACTGGTCCGCTCATCTCCCCGGTCCTCAGCGCAAACGAGGCGTCTTCAAAAGGCTTTTGCATTTGACCTGCCGGATGAAAGAAAAATTACAATTAAGCACACCCGTGCAGCAAAGAACAGCCTGCTCTGGGCTCCCTGGTTCCCTCGAGACACCCAGTGCAGTGGCAAGGGAGACAGCCGACCCTGAAAGCACTCGTGGGAAAGCGTCCGGACGCTAGAACAAGTAGCCAAGAGGCTGTGTGACATGCACATGTGAAATATCCTGTTAAGTTGCCGCTGACTTATAGAGACCCCAGCAAAGGGGCTTTCAAGGCAAGTGAGAAGCAGGGGTGGTTTGCCCTTGCCTTCCTCTGCAGAGCCTTCCTCGGTGGCCTCCCGTCCAAGTACCGACCTTGCTTTGCTTCCACGATCTGACAAGATCAGGCTATAACAGGGATCCCCAACCTTTCTGAGCCTGTAGGCACCTTTGGGATTCTGACAGAGAATGGCTTCCACAGCTGACCTTCGGTCAAGCAGTGAAAACCTTTGTGCTGCGGTGGCAGCTGCTGCCAGAGCAAATTTTTTAAAAATCTGCAAAGCCAATTAGCAGCCTTGCTGGAGAAAACACACCTGGCCCTACCCATTTCCGAAAAAAAAACACTGGGTGAGTGCCATGAAAGGTGTTGGCGGGCCCATGGGCACCATGTTGGGGACCTCTGGGCAGTACTATGCTACCTTCCCTCCCATTGCATGACATGGGCTGTGAAGCTGTTCTCTGCGGGTGAGGTCAGCCTGCTGTAAACAAAGGGTGCGAACATCCATGAGAACAACCCGGATGACCTGAGAGAGAAGCCGGTTATCAGTTCTCTCTCGGCACTGGGAAACACTCTCCCGGTACCACATACAACACTTTCTGATTGACTGTTAGCAGATCAAAGATTTGCTGTTCGGATATCTGGGTATCATAGAATCATAGAGCTGGAAGGGACCTCCAGGGTTATGTAGTCCAACCCCCTGCACAATGCAGGAAATTCACAAATACCTCCCCCCACACCTCCAGAGACCCCTGCCCCATGCCCAGAAGAGAACAAAAAACCTCCAGGATCCCCGGCCAAACTGGCCTGGAGAAAACTTGCTTCCTGACCCCCCAAAGTGGCGATCAGCATTTCCCTGGGCGTGTAAGAAAGGGCCACGAGATCTAAGCACAGAGGCAACCCTTCCTGCCCTCCCTTCTCGTGATCTGCCTAAGTCCACAGAATCAGCATTGCTGTCAGATGGCCATCTAGCCTCTGCTTGAAAACCTCCAAAGAAGGAGAGCCCACCACCTCCCAAGGAGGCCTGTTCCACTGAGGAACCACTCTGTCAGGAAGTTCTTCCTCATGTTTAGCCGAAAACTCTTCTGATTTAATTTCAGCCTGTTGGTTCTGGTCCAACCTTCTGGGGCAACAGACTGGCCAAAGAGCCCCCAACCGGCTCCACGGCACAAGTGGGGATTTGACCTGGGGGCGTCAGGATCCTAGTCCAGCACTTTACCCACTACACCACACTGGCTCTCAAGTCTGGTCTTTTAGCACCCGGGATTCTAAATCCCACGTTCTTTAATCCTATGGGATTACAGTCAGTGTTACCTCTAAACTGAGTCAGTGTGAGCTAGCTCCCGGCTCACACCTTTTTGTCTTAGCTCAGGAAGGAGGGCTCCAGAGCAAACTAATCTATGCAGCAGCCAAATCACTTGCTCACAACTTTAATGCTGGCAGCCAATGTTCCCTCTAAGCTGTGGAGTCTTGTGAGCAAAACCTCTACTTTGTGAGCTCCTGGCATTAAAGTTGTGAGCGAGCCATTTGGCTACTGCATAAATTAGTTTGCTCTGGAGCCACCTCTCCTGAGCTAAAACAAAAATGTGTGAGCTGGAGGCTAAAAAACTGTGAGCTAGCTCACACTAACTCAGTTTAGAGGGAACACTGCCGGCAGCTCACAAAGTAGAATTTTTGCTCACGAGACTCCACAGCTTAGAGGGAGCTCTGATTACAGTTGGCCCGAATCACTCTCCCGCCAGCTCGCCTGCTGCACGACCCAGCCATGTGACTCAGTGGGTATAAACTGGGTCTCCTACATCACAGCACAATGAGCTGGCAGAACGAAGCGCACTGCTCTGAACTACAGGTAGGGGGCAGTCTACTTTGGGATGCTCTACTTTTCGGAAAAAGACCCCTACAAGCAGAAAACCAGCCTATCCAGGACAGCCGTTCCAAGCCAGCCGTCCACCTGCTGTGCTAGCTTTCTAGCTGCGGGAAGCTCTGTTACCTAAGGGAGCATTCAAAAAGATAAACCACACACACACAGACACATTACTATCTCTACGTGCAGCACAGTGAACAGGCAGTTCTTGTCCTCTCCCTGCAGCTGCTTCGTTTGCCTAACGTTGCACAGAAATCACCCAGGCAGAGGAGATGACATTTCGGCGCTGGCTTGCAAGAGTAAACTGCAGGAGTGATTGACAGCTTCGGGGTGGGCTCCCCTGTTGGACAAGAGGGGCTCTAGTCCCTGAATGGGAAACTCCAGCAGCCAGCTTCCCCGGGGCAGGCAAACAATTCCGTCTTAACATCACAGCTATATGGCAAGTCCCAAAGAGGTAACCAGGCACGCCTTTGGTCGCCCCCGGCCTCCCTGGCAACGGCACAAGGAAACAGAAAAAACCCTGATCTACAGTGGGACCTTGAAGCGGCTAATATTGATATCGGGTTTATATCCCTGGCCCTTTGGATGTGTTAGAGACCCCTGAAGAATGCTGTTCAGTTGCAGTGTGTTTGGTCTTGTAAAATTTCTTATGATTTACTTATTTAATTAATTATATTTATACCCCGCCCTCCCCGCGAACGGGCTCCTACTGCCCATATGAAGCCGCCTTACACTAAATTAGACACACACACCCTGGTCCGTCAAGGTCATCAGACCGGCAGTGGCTCTCCAGGGTCTCAGGCTGGGGTCTTCCAGACCACCTACTAACTGGGTCCTCACCAATGCTCCCTCTAAGCTGTGGAGCCCTGTGAGCAAAAATTCTACTTTGTGAGCTACGGGCTTTAAAGTTGTGAGCGAGCGATTTGGCTGCCGCATACATTAGTTTGCTCTGGAGCCCTCCTTCCTGAGCGAAGACAAATATATGTGAGCCGGAGGCTAAAAAACCGTGAGCTAGCTCACACTAACTCAGCTTAGAGGGAACACTGGTCCTCACCTGGATAGCCCAGGCCAGCCTGATCTCATTGGATCTCGGATGTTAAGCAGGGTCAGCTCCGGTTAGTATCTGGATGGGAGACCGCCAAGGAAGTCCAGGGCCATGACGCAGAAGCAGGCAATGGCAAACCACTTCTGAACGGCTCTGGCCTTGGAAACCCTACGGGGTTCGCCAGACGTCAGCCTGACAGCACTGTCCACCACCACTACTGGATCCGTTAAATGGGAGATGCCGGGGATTGAACCGAGGACCTTCTGCATGGCAAGCAGATGCTCTGCCGCTGAGCCACGGCCCCTCCCCGAATTAGTAGAAACTTACCAGTACCTTGGTTATCTATTAGTATCTATTCTTGCTTATCTGTTAAAGGGCAGCTGTTTCATTAGGGTTATATAGGTTTCTGTAATATATTTTGACCGTTTCTCGGCCATTTCTGCTGTCCTGCCACAGAAAACTCATCCAACACGAGCGCTTCTCTTCAAAAAGTCTGCTTGTTTTGCCTTCTTCCAAGCTACACACCTGCCCTAGGGGCAACCATGCTTCAAGCCTATTGCCTACAACTCTTTTCTGGACCCAGCTTCTCTTTATAGATCAAGGCCCTGTTCTGCAGAGGCCACAGAGAACACAGACCGAAAGCTCGGGAAACGGAAGCTACCGAGGGGCGGCTGCGGCTGAGCAAAGAACAAATGGCGCCTGCTTTCAAATCTGAGCGGCTCAAGAGTCTGCCGCTCCCAGCTCAAAATAATAAGGCTCTCAACTACTGCGAAAGGCCATCCTCTCCATGGGAAACCCGAGCTCCAGGAGTCAAAAAGATCCGAGAGCAAAAAAGAACCGGGGGGGGGGGGGGGGCTCTGCTTCCCGAACTCAGCGCCGACCATCTCAGGCTGCCTTAAAGTGTCCGACGCAGCAGGATGAGGCAAGATGGACCGAGTAAATCTTGAGTAAGTTTATGACCCTTGTCTGGGAGCTGCGAGCCACTGCTGTTAGGAGACGAGAACAGAAAGCTGGGAGACAGCCTGACGGATGAATCTCTGGCAGGATTTTTTCCCCTCCCCTTTTAAAGGGAGAACATTTGGGTGATATACTAATCACTTTGAGGGCTCTGCATGGGCCACACGTCGCAGATGCATCACAAGCCTGAGACGGCTGGGTGGAATTTATGGATTTTACTGGAGGCTTTAAATCCATCTGTGCTTCTTCCTCTGGCTGCGGCTCTAAACTTCCCTTTCCAAGATTAGTCACTGCGGCGTCGGCCTTTTCCCCACAAGCCTTATTCGCAAGAGGGCTTGAGAGACGAGAGAGATGTGACCTGAGGCTTTCAGAAATCCCAAGAATAGGGTCGCTCGGGTGCCTAAAAACTGCACGCGGGCACCTAAGAATAAGATTATTGCTTTGGGGTAGAGGAAAGCCAGCACCCAGACACATGGGATGTGGTTCCTTCAGACAATGATACGGGTGTATTTTTTCTTTATTTATGTTAGTTATAATCAGCCTTTCTCCCAGGGACTCAAGGCGGATCGCACACAGTGAGTCAGCACAATCAACAAAAAGGGGGCATTTGACAGTCAGTGCGTTAGGGTTTTGGAAGTCTCTGGAACCACCAGAAAGAAACTGAAGCACAGCATTTGGAGTACAGTGTACAGTTCTGGTCACCACACCTCAGAAAGGAGATTACAGCATTGGAAAACGTGCAGAAAAGGGCAACTAGAATGATCAAAGGGTTGGAACATTTTTAAAGCGCTTGGGGCTCTTTAGCTTGGAGAAACAATGGCTGAGGGGTGACATGATCGAGATTTACAAGATTATTCATGGGACAGAGCAGGTAGAGAAAGAAGTACTTTTCTCCCTTTCTCACAATA